GGTCAATAATTCTTTGCGAAAAGTGTTCAAGCTGGCGTCTCTTAACTTTTTTGGCAATTTACTATAAACTTTAGGAGTCATACAGTAAAAGCTTTTCCTTTTAACGCGGTTTGACGTCTACTTGATAGAGTGGGAAACAGATGTAGATTTCTCTTGACAAAGACCGCAGTCTCGTAAATGTAGAGCGAGGGTACAGTTAGTATTTTTAATTCCTTGAAGTGTGGTTTGCAGCTGTCCCTCCACTTCAAGGATTTTATAGCTCTGATGCATTTCTTTTGAGCTCTGAAAACTTGCAGTTTATCGGTGCAGTTGCCCCAGAAAATAATTCCGTATCTTAAATTAGATGAGACATATCCGTGGTAAGCTGTTAGTACCGTTTCTAGATTTGCTATTCTGGATAATGTTTTTAATGCATATGTTACGGTCAAAGTGATAAATGTGAAAATTATGAATAATCGCCGGTTATTATGAATAATTACCGCATGACTTGGTAAATGTGATTAATACGAGGTCATTTATGTGTGTATAAAACTAAATAGGCGGCTTAGGGGTGGCCCAAGGGCCCCCCCCGCCGCACCTTAACCTATTTTTCACTTTAAATCAAAACATTATGTTATAGGCATCATGGAAAAGTAATATTATGCAAGAAACATTCCAAACTCATTATGCCAAATTATATTAATATATGATATCAAAACGTTCAAAAGTTTGGCTGTACACGAACACGTACACAAGATGTTGTTCTCTTTTATGAAANCTGTTCTGTATTTTCTCCGTCAGTAACTTTAGCTGATATTTTTCTGTAGAATATTTTTTCGTTTTTCAAAAATAATTGGTTATCTTCTTTGCGCTGTAATGCTTTCTTATATCTTCTTAGTCTTTGTGCCTTAAGGGCTAACTTTTGTTTGAGTGTGTCAAGAAATTCTTCAGGTCTGCTGTTATTTTTTTCATGGGTAGAATGTATTTGATATTTTTGAAATATTATGTCAACTCTTGTACGCAGCTTATCGGATATGTTTTCATTCGCAATATATTGTGTTACCCGCCCTATGTCAGTTCTTAGTTTACTTATATCTCTTTCAATCCTAATTTGCCATGCTGGTTTTTTAGATGATTGTTTATAGTTACGTTTGTGTCCTATTGGTGATTCAACTTTATGTCCAAGGTGTTTACAAATAACAAAAGCCGTGCAATATATTAAGGTATGTATGTGAGTTATGTTTGAGTCTGTGGAATAAAATTTGCTTAGAATGTGGTTGTTAAATATATACAGTATTTGATAGAGGTTTTTGTCTTCGCGTAGTTTTGGTAGTTTAGGTCTCGTAGTTGGGTCTGTTCCGGTATATTCTATTAGAGCTGTTTGTAACTCGTCTGTCAACTTTTGAATTAGTGTATCTAGTTGGGTATCATTGCCACCATTTGCAGCTCTTTCTTCTTGTGCTATATTATGACTCGGGGAGTTTGGGGTAGACTGTGTATTAGGGAAATCTACATTTTGCATGTGTGTGTCCTGTGATGGAGAATTTGATGACNGATCTTCGTTGGTTTTGGGAAGCTGACTACATAGTGTTTGTCGTCCAGTTGCTCAAGGGCTTCTCGATCGAGTAGAACCGTGGTGAGCTTGCATGTGATGTCCAGTTTCTGGGTAGCGATGAGAGTCTGGATGCAGTCAACTTGATCTTGTGGCTTGTAGTTTATTCTTATCTCGCAGAGATACCAAGTATTGGACTTCGGACATTCTGTCTCTATGTAGATGAAATCATTTCTATGTATTGCTATATAAGGAGAGGATGGGATGAGAACATTATGGTGTTTATTGGGAACAATGGCTAATTTATACAGATCATAGGAATGTGGGATAGCGATCGGAATCTTGAACACTATAACTATTTTATTTTTAGTGTAGTAAGAACCTAGTTTTATAATATCGTAATATTCTCTAAGATTGACTTCAATAACTTCGTCTTTGTTATATAAAGTCTTTAACTTATCTAACATTGATCTTAAAACTTCTAAACTTAACATAGAATGGTGCGTGCTCGATGCACGGATAAATGCTAAGAGGTTTTCTAACTTAACTAACTCCTCTGCAAGATCTTCTATATTATCTCCTAAGATTAAAAGTAACTGAGCCAGATGGGCGTATTTTACTAAATCTGTATCTCTACTTGCTTCGCTATTAATAATTAGATTAAGTACGTTCTCAATCTTTATTTGATTTTTAGAAATAGTCTCTAGTATGTTAGTGTGTTCAGTCATCCATTCTTTACTTAGACTTATGTGACTGTTAAATTCTGAAACTAATTTTTCTTCGTTACTTTGTAAAGACTTAAGAGCATTATCGTAACGCACAGCATCTGTATAATCTAGGTTTCCTGAGATGCTTTTTATGACTGATCCTAATCCGTCTATCAATCCTCGTTTAACGCGATTCATTTCAAACGTTTGCAACTGGTCAGCAACCTTTTCTAGCTTCTTACTCAGATAATCAATATGTGGTTCGTACAAGTTTAAAGTCTTATTATTTAACTGAGGCCGAACATCATTTAACTGTGATCTAACTAAATTTACCTTAGACTGTATGTAATCGATATCAATAAATTGGAGAAAGGAATGATAGTGGGATATTATTTTGGTAGGACCTAGTTTGAAAGGGAGAATGCCTGGACCGTCTTCTAAGCTGTCAAGTAGGATCTCTTGTGCGACTGCTGCCCGGAGCAGGATCATCATTATTATCCTGCAACAAGCGTGCACTATTAGGGACTCTCTTTAACCTAGACTTAGCCACGGGACCACGCTTTTTCTTAGTGTAAATATGTATAGGGAGATCGGCTAAAACAGTATCGTGAGTGTATCGCGGTGCTAGTTTCTGACGACTGGCCATAGGGTTTTTAACAAAAACGTTTTGCTCGGGATTATACGTTTCTTCGGCCTCTCTAGTTTTATTACGATTCTCCATGATCTCAGTACGGAGGCGTAGAGATGAATCTTGTATCATCTCATAAGCCTTGCTCATCTTAGCGCGATGATCTATGATATATTGTTGCAATAAATGCTCTGTTAACTCGATATCTATTGGGTCGCGGGGATCGAAGTGACCAGTAATAACCTCTAAGGGTCTACATTTAGTTAAACTGTGTATCGAGCTATTGTACGCTAAGATCGCATAAGATATAAGATTTACTACCGATTCGCTGCGATGCTGCAGTTTTAATAATCGCAAGTGCTCTAACAACGTCGAGTGAAAGCGTTCTACTATTCCGTTTTCGTTTGGAGCATGAGCTAAGATCTTGTGATGCTGGATCTTATGAACGCGAGTGAACTCTAAGAAAAGCTGGTTTGTAAATTCAGTGCCACGATCTGATACTATAATTGAAGGGATTCCATGATGGGTACAAAACTTTAATACAGCCTGTACTACACTAATAGCAGTGCCATCGCGAAGATGGTACGCCTGGGCATACTTAGAAAAAGCATCAACTAGTGTTAGGTATTTTTCTGTATCAACTGTGAATAAGTCAATGTGCAAGATTTCAAAAGGCTTGGTGGGCGGAGGAACTATGTGAAACTGTTGCTTGATTGGACTACGGTCGTATTTAGCTTGACCGCAAATATTACACTCATTGATATATTTCGAGATGCTATCTTTCATCTTAGGCCAAAAATATTTATTTGACAAAGCTAAGTAACATTCAGTAATACCGCGATGGTTAGTTTTTCCTTCGTGGTATTTCTGTATTAACTCTTGCTGTCTTAGATACTCTTTAATGTTCTCAAGTTCAGTTTTAGTAAGTACAATGTTCATAGCGGAACTTTTAAAGTGGGTTTGAATANATCTAAATATTTGGTAATAAGTAGGATTATAGCTATAATTCTTCGTTATCTTAAAGATTAATATTCATCCTTCAAAATTGTGTGTGTGTTTTTTTTGTGTGATGATTTATAAATATAAAACTTTTGAACTGTTTCGAAGCACACTTTTTTTTTTCAAAATGTACACTTTTTTTGAGAAATACTCATTTGCACGAGCTGTTCTAAGTGAGTTTAAAGGAAGGTTGTCTTCAAAGCTAGAGTCACGCGAATGTGCCAATATTGTGTTCATTTCAAGTTCTGGGGTTGATAGTAACTCTGCCTCTAATTCAAGCTGTTCTTTTACTTCTAATTTGATTTTTTCTATGGTGTCGTCGGAGAGTAATTTATTTCGAATTATAACTCTACGTTGATCTGCGATTCTTTGTCCCGAAACATCAAGATTGGGGTATTTAAGTCTAAACCTGTCGTATAAGTTTTTGCAGTACATGGTACGATCTGTCTCTAATTTTGTGATGTGATAGTATGTGCGCATGATGAAAGTATTTATTTCGTCATCCCATCTCATGCGCACTCTGGGTTTACCAGCCTTAGTGGTCGCAAGATTAGTGGCTCGTGCCTCTTGCGAAACATCTTCGGTTGGCGTTACTGAGCAATTATTTTGTTGCTGTGAGAATTGGGTGAACTCGCATTGTTCAGGTTTCCCACCTAAAGCAGGTCCCCCGGCAGAGGGCCGTCCACCTAAACCCCCGCCACCGATGGCTCGTATGCTGTGGCGCCCAGCATCGGCTCCAGGCGCGCCCCGGCGATCGCCCCCGGGAAGCGGCATTATACGTTTACCTTTACTTCTTAACTCCATCTTGATGGGTTTGCCCTTGCCTTGTTGGTCACCCGCATGGTAAATTCATTGCGAGTGTCCGCCCCCCACGTGGCTCAGCTGGTCGAGCTCGGACGAAAGGTTGGACTATGGGGGGCTTATTATTATTATTATTATAAAAGTGGCTAGACAACCGGCGTCTACTAAGACCGCATTTCATCCTTTAAAAAAAAGCTGCTAAATTTAGGTATGCTTGTGTTATGATGGGTATACGGTCACCTTTAGCGTCCTCTCGAATCAGCTAGACCGATGCCTAAATCTAAGGGCTAAAGCGCCTCTAATATTATTGCTGTATCTTACTCTAGTAGTCTAGTAAAAACCCAGTTAAATGGAGGAATTACTAACCACCATAATATTATGTCCCCAGCTGAACCCACAACACACAGTTCCCACTATCGTAGACGACGGTTTCTCGCTATGGGAATCGCGCGCCATCAGCAGATACCTCGTCAACAAGTACGGAGGGGAAGCCCTGTACCCTGAGGATCCGAAGGCGAGGGCTTTGGTGGACCAGAGACTGGACTTCGACTTGGGTACACTGTACCCCAGATTTGCTGCGTACTTTGTAAGTTCTTTTTACAATAGGTAAATGTGTTTTTGCCTTCTCTAAGTTGTAGCTCATTTTGAATATTTACTAGCATAGGTGTAATTAGACAACCAATAGTATTTTTCTTCTAAACGGCCTTCTATCTATACTTCTATACTTAATATTGTAAATGCGAAAGTAACTCTGTCTGTCTGTCTGTCTCGCTTTCACGCCTAAACCACTGAACCGATTTTGATGAAATTTGGCATAGAGATAGTTTGAGTCCCGGGAAAGGACATAGGATAGTTTTTATCCCGGTTTTTGAAACAGGGACGCGCGCGATAAAGTTGTTCTGTGACAGATAAATTTACACGCGGGCGAATAAGCGGGCGGAAAGCTAGTTTATTTATATAACACTTTTATTGCACACAAAAAAATAACTACGAAAGGCGAACTTAATGCCATATGACATTCTCTACCAGTTATCGTTTGGTCCAAACAGTAGTAGGCGTATTTTAGCAGACAGGGCGCGTATTTGAGTAAGGCTATGTTGGAGAGCAGTGGACTTCTAAGCTGCTACTGCTGATGATAAAGATGAAGAATATTAATTAGCTAGTTTTTTTCTTTATACCTATATTTTATTACACTGTTATGTTACTTAAATGATATTATTATATTTTGTCAATTGTCCATAGTATCCCCAAGTCTTCGGCGGTGCTCCTGCTGATGAAGCCTTGTTGAAGAAGCTGGAAGAGGCTCTCAAGTTCCTGGACACCTTCCTCGAGGGTCAGAAGTACTCGGCAGGCTCAGAACTGACCTTGGCTGACCTGTCGCTCGTGGCTACTGTGTCTACTATTGACGCTGCTGGCATATCAATCGAATCCTACCAGAATGTCAACAAGTAAGTCATCAAATGCTTTGTACTTTTAACATCGGCTATCTGCGATTTTGCGACTGTCGATGCAGCATCACAATTTCCACTTTATATAGGGTGGAAACGATAAGTGATCTCACTACATTATTTCTAAATTATACAAGATATCAAAAAACTAGTTACTGATCCTGAAAGTGCTTCATGAGCTCTATCAAACGGTACCAATAATAGGTTACAGAATAAACTGGATCTATTCGATAATTCAATGATTCCGGCTTCGGCGATTACGATAGCTGATGCTAAAAGTAGGAGCAACTGTCAAGGCATGTATCAACATTGAGGCTACAAACTCGCGGTGCATCAAACGAGCAAACTTGTATGCCTCGCAATGTCAATGTTACACGTGTTTTTTTTCTAGTGGTTTAATATTCAAGCGTTGTTTTGTTCATTCTAAAAACCTCAAAATACAGTAGGTACATCATTAATAAGGATAAGATCATTTGAATTTCCGACGAGTATCGTCACGTGTAGCAGAATAGTCAAAACCACAGTCAAAGCAAATAAGCACCTTCTATGTGAATCTTTAAATACTGAAGAATAGGCGCGTCAGTAGTCAAATCTAGAAACCTTGTGTATTATTAAATACTGATTACATTAGTTCTAAAACGTTATTTATTTTACAGGTGGTTCGAGTTGGTCAAATCTACTGCCCCCAAATACGACGAAGCGAACGGCCAAGGCGTAGAAATGTTTAGAGCCTTCGTGGCACAGCTCAAAGCCAAGACGGAGCTGTAATCGTGAGACTGGTATAGTGCATAGTTTTATATTAAGTAAATGTTTGATACATAAGTGAATAATAAATTGAAATTTAAAAGTAAATAAAGTGTCATGATTTTGCATGCGATTGCTCATCCACGATCACTGAAGGTAGATATTAGATAATATTATTATGTAGATTAGTTGTAGATATGTAGGTAGATATTATATGAAAACGAAATAGTTTATTCAGTAGGTACATAGGCCTTTTCTAGGGCACTTTTACACGCCCCAAATATAGCTTGCCCTACCACCACTTCGGGATATTCTTTTTTTATGACGCCTTCATGTATAAACACCTAAGCTGTCCTTGTACCTTGTGTAGGAGGGACAATGCAGGAAGTGGGGCTCTATAGTACTTTGATACAGAACCCCGCAATTTAATTAAACTCGTTATTTTTTTGCTTAAGGCAACAATAGACCAACGTTATCACCGTTGTCGGGGTACCACCAACGCTGCTAGTTTGATCCCCGTTGACCGCTGGATTTTTGTGGCGAACCTACTCATATCACAAGCATCTGGGGGCACGGCAGTGCCCCCACCAAGTCGAGCAAAAAAGCGGCACGGCCGTACCATCCTTTTCTCGAAGCAATTCAGGCCATTTTCGACCGCCTGTAACTTCGTTGTGGATAAAACTAGAAGGCTGAATTTTCATTAGCCATGCAGGCATTGTAAAGACACGGTATATTTAAAATTTCATTCAATTTGAACCAGTAGTTTAATAATTTTGTCACTCACTGACTCACTGACTGACTCACCGATCATCAAAATTCTAAGGCACTTCTAGCAGACATAGAAGCTTCAAAGAAGAACGGTCATCTGTGACCCAGGCCCGACAGAAACGAGACATACCTCAGTTTTTTTGTCATGTCTTAATTAGTTAAATTATATATTTTTTATATTCGAAATCTATGTATAACACCAAAATATTACCCTTTGTTTTTGTTAAGGCGTTAAGTATACAAAAACTAATACAAAATGCCTATTTATCACCAAAATTGGTAAATGTATGTACCTAAATGTCTATTACAGCTGCTATGGAATGTATCTAGGTGACCTGGAGATACAGCCGGATTATACCAAATTATTTAGTGCGATGGCCAAGTCAATAATTTATGTAAAACGTTAGAGATTTCCTGGCCTGGACATGGTATTACATGGATCTCACAACTTTTTACCGTAGAACAACTGAGTTGCGAGACTTGGTTTTTTTGACAAGTATTGTTTTTGATGGGATAATAGTTTACTGGAAGTGGTTAACAGGGGTAACTATTTAGTAATATCTATATATATAAAAGAAAGTCGTGTTAGTTACTTCGCTTATAACTCAAAAACGGCTGAACCGATTTAGCTGAAAATTGTCAGGGAGGTAGTTTAGAGCCAGGAGAAGGAGATAGGATACTTTTTATCCCGATCGAAATTAAAAAAAAGTCTGCTTATTTATTGCCATTAAGGCGGAACAAAGTTCGCCGGGTCACCTAGTTTTTAATAAAAGGTCGAGCCTTCGTCATGCCTCATTATGGCAGATTCATTTAGGTTCATTCAGTTAGATTCATATTATTTTCAGGACAGTTTAATAAGGTTTAATAACAACAACGAAATGTGTTTTTATATAATTTATTTGTGCCTTACACTTACATCATAACTTAAAAACAGTAGGTACAACTGTACAAATCGAGCAGTGATAGAATTTGGAATGAAAAACACGATGGTGGGTGCACACAAACTGACAACAACATATTTCATTTGATGATTTACGATTTTGTGACCTCTTGTGTCCACCATAAAGATTATTCAAGAAGGTAGATCCTAAGTCGGTTTTACTTCTTCAGCATGTTGTTGACCAGTTCCTTGAACGCGATCAGACCTTTGCCATTGGCCTCTTCGTATCCGGGTGCTGTGCTCTTCACTGTCTCGTACCATCTGGAAAAAAATATCGTTAGAACCTGTGTTATACTTCGGAATTGAGAGTAAAGTTCTATCGACTATGTTATATTTTTCCCCAAACTGAATCGCAATAAATCTAATTNGCTTTATTGACTGGACTAAATACATAATGTCCTTGCGTGATATTGGCTGATTTCCGATAAACCTATACTTTTTGCCCTTCAAAAGACAATCGATCTTGTATTTATGGCTAAGCTCTAGGCATATAAACTCTTATTTTAGAGTTGTGACGGGAGAAATTTAAATTCTTTATAGTATAAAAGGTACCTTAAGGGAATTAGATAGGTACATGTCTTAAATATAACTTGCCCAAAACAAAAATACAACAAGTGGATATTGTGTCAACGTTGTGGACGTCATTTGTTTTTTCAGGACACTTATGCCCGTTTTTACCACCAATCCCTAATTTTTAAGTGACCCCTATGGTAACACATAACAGAAATTTTGTTTTCAAAGGGGTAGGTAGCAACTAAACTACAACTCAGTGGGATTTGAATCTCACCTCTTAACATTAGGGTATTTGAGGAAGTTGATGTCGGATGCCTCGAAGCTGGAGACTGAGGCGATGAGACTCAGATCAGCGACTGTCAGGTTGTTGCCGGCAGCGTACTTGTGTCCCTCCAGAAATGTGTCGAACAGCTTGAGGGCATTCTCTACAGCTGTCAACTTCTCCTTGTCTGCTGGGGCGCCGCCGAACACTTGTGGGTACTGGAAGAAATATAGACAGTTTGTAATTCGCTCGACAACACTGGCACATACCATACATATTGCTTAACCTGCCTCCTGTTCTTACTGCTGTTCCTGTGTAGCCAGGACTTAACTGCCAAAAAATTGTACCAGAATCTGTTACTGGAATTACAAGCATATACTTCAGGATCAGGACCGACTCATTCGAAAAGTTTTGAGTGCATCTATAAAGATTGTACTTGCATTGAAAGCGTTTATTCGTGGGTTGGTTGGTAAAATCAAGTATGATTCTTGGAGTGATAGTTGTAAAATACCATGGTAGAACTTTAGTGACGTCGATCTTTGGCGCTTCCATCACAATTATTTTAAGACATAAAACTATGGAGTTTCGCTCCAACAACTTTATGGCAATGTCAGCTCTAGTAACTCCTGGTTTTGATTGCTACTAAAAATACTTACGAAGTATTCCGAGAACTTCTGGTACAGTGTGCCGATATCGAAGTACAGGCGTTGGTCCACCACCGCGCGCGCCTTCGGGTCCTCAGGGTACAAGGAATTGCCCTTGGCATACTTGTTCACGAGGTAGGTGATGATGGCGCGTGACTCCCAGATTGATAGCCCGTCGTCTACCAGGGTGGGCACTGTGTGTTGGGGGTTTAGCTGTGGACAATGGAAAATAGGTTTTAGAAAGAGAAATCTTGATTGATGTCTTTTCTGAACACTGTTCGATCGTTTCAGCCAAATGACGTCCACTTCTGGACAAAGACTTCCACCAAGGTTTTCCATAATGAACGGTTCTCGAATGGCGACCACGGGCTGGAAGACGTAGCGTGGGCAGGCCTCCTACTAGGTGGACCGACAATCTGGTAAAGGTCGCGGGAAGAGCCTGGACGCGGCAACGCTGGATCTTGTAATCCGGTCCTTTTCAAGGTGAGAGTAAATAGGCATTTACTGGGCAGGTCAAAGCTTTTATTCAGTACTTATTTGTTTTTCCAGGGCGCTCATATAGCTTGCCCTACCACCACTTCGGGACAGCATATGGGCCGTATGTATACCACCTTAGGCTGCATCTCACTTAACATCAGTCAGCAGGTGCGATTGCGGTCGTAACCTGTCTTTTTGTGCATTAAAAGAACTAGTTTCTTTGTGGTTGACGATTCCGGGTGAACCTCGCTTCCACCTTCGGCCTAATCGTGACGTAGATTAATAAAATCGATTTAAAAAGTTTATAGATACACACTGCGTGATATACCACAGTTGTTATCAAGGCTAGGCGGTTAGAATACCTGTACCGTGTGAAAATAACTTGGAGGAATACCTGGTAGAGTTTGTGGTTAGTTTAAAGCAACCTTGACCGTGAAAATCCCTTTACTATTGTCATAGCTATTGTGTGGTTATAATATACATAGAGCCCTAAACGACACGATGACTAGTGTTATGCAAAACTACATTTTTATTATAATCTAGCTGTGCCCGCGACTTCGTACGCGTGAAAACCAGTTTTCGCAACATTTTTCATTGTTGATCTGCTATTCTGCTCCTTTTGATTGTAGCGTGATGTTGTTGTAGCCTATAGCCTTCCTCGATAAATGGGCTATCTAACACTGAAAGAATTTTTCAAATCGGACCAGTAGTTCCGGAGATTAGCGCGTTCAAGTAAACAAACAAACTCTTCAGCTTTATAATATTAGTATTAGTATAGATGTTAGGCCTGTATTCAATACACGTCCAAATACATAATACTTTAATTAATACAAAACCTTCAAGGCTGTTAAAAATAATTTGATTCTAACAAAGCGTGGCCATAACGATTTGTTGATTGTAGATAGTTATGTTATTATAATAATGGCCCTGAAATCGATCGATACAGAAGGGCACCCTTTGCTTTCACTGACCTACTAACATTCCTCACCATAACAGGCTTTTTAAAGCCGTAAAACATGGTGTTTTGTCTATGGTTAAAGTAAAAATTTAAAGAATCGAATAGAATAGAAGACACATCTATAGGTGCACAGGATGAACATGATGGGATTTATTTATTTAATAAATTTTTAATAATAATAAATATTTAATAATTTAATAAACCAAACCTTGTATGCCCTGCTGTATGTAAAGACGTCTGATTAGGTACTTGCATCATAACCATAATATTTTCAGAACATTCTTACGTGTTTGCATACTATAATTTTACATAACTTTGTATAACTTTTTACTCGATCTCAAACAAAAATGGGAGCGAAGTTAATAATATACACACGCTATGTTTTCAGCGAAATCGAAAATGAGTTTTTTCCGTCTGTTGCCAACGAGTGGAACCGGCCACAATATTACGTAATTACAAGTTATGAACCGGTTCAAGGGAATTTTGGTACCTGCGGACAGAGTCATGATGTTTGAGTTGAATTGACTCTAAACTTTAGAGTCTAAAGGAT